GTTGTTTTGGGGATGGTCATGGTTGGTTTGGGGATGGCCATGGTTGGGTTGGGGATGGCCATGGTTGGTTTGGGGATGGCCAAACCCTGAGGAGGAGTTTAGGAAGCAGAAGAATCTTTTCTGTGCTTTTTTCCATCAATTTTGCCCTGATTTCCTCCTTTCCCCCCCGCAGGACTCACATGGCTGAAGAGCTCGTTGGTCAAGCCCAGGTAGTTGTGCAGGGCCAGGAAGGTGACGCGCTGCAGCCGCACCATGATGATCTGTGGGGGGACAGGAGGCCACCGGTGACCCTCTGCCACCCCAAGGGACCCCCCAGTGTCCCCCCAGCCCCCACCTCACCTGCACCACCCGCACCAAGCTCTCGGGGTACTTCTCGAAGATGGCAGAGAAGGCCTCGACCGGCAGGCGCAGGATGGTGGAGTCCTCGGCGGCGCGGGCGCTCACCGTGCGGTACGGCCGCTGGTGGCCCTGCGGGACACGGCTGCTGGGGGAAACCTGGCCAGCACTGGGAGCTCCAGTCCGGCCCTGGGAGGGGTTTGGGGGGAGTTGGGAGATGGGGAAGTCCCAGGGTGGCAACAGGAGTTGGATCGGTTGGGGTTGGGCATGGCCATGGTTGGACTGGAGGGGTTTGGGGATGGTCATGGTTGGTTTGGGGATGGTCATGGTTGGTTTGGAGATGTTCATGGTTGGAATGGTGTTGGTCATGGTTGGGTTGGGGATGGCCATGGTTGGGTTTGGGGATGGTCATGGTTGGGTTTGGGAATGGTCATGGTTGGGTTGGGGATGGCCATGGTTGGTTTGGGGATGGTCATGGTTGGGTTGGGGATGGCCATGGTTGGGTTTGGGGACAGCCATGGTTGGGATGGAGATGGTCATGGTTGGGTTGGTGTTGGCTGTAGTTGGTTTGGGGATGGCCATGGTTGGGCTTGGGGATGGCCATGGTTGGGTTGGTGTTGGCCGTAGTTGGTTTGAGGATGGCCATGGTTGGGTTTGGGGACAGCCATGGTTGGGATGGGGATGGCCATGGTTGGTTTGGGGATGGCCATGGTTGGGTTGGTGTTGGCCATGGTTGGTTTGGGGATGGCCATGGTTGGGTTTGGGGACAGTCACGGTTGGACCAGGAGGGTTTGGGGCCAGTGCCGGTACCGTGATGACATCGAGGATGCTGAGCAGGCTGTGGACACTGTCCCCAGGGAACACCTCCTTCATCACCGTCTCCTTCCCGTCCTGCCGAGCACAGAGCCCTTCGTCCCTTCCATCCCTGGTGCCCCCGTCCCATCCCTGTTCCCAGAGTGTCCCCTGGGTGTCCCCTGAGCGTCACTGGATGTGCCCAGGTATCCCTTGGGTGTCCCTGGGTGTCCCCTGGGTGTCCCTGGATATTCCCAAGTGTGTTCAGGTGTCCCCTGTCTGTCCCTGGCTGTCCCCTGGATATTCCTGGCTATTCCCAGGTGTCCCCTGGGTGTCTCCAGCCATCCCCAGGTGCCCCCCGGCTGTCCCCTGGCTGTCCTCTGGCTGTCCTCAGGTGTCCCCTGGGTGTCTCCAGCCATCCCGAGGTGCTCCCTGGCTGTCCCCTGGATGTTCCTGGCTGTCCCTGGCTGTCTCCTGGTTGTGCCCTGGCTGTCCCCTGGCTGTTCCCAGGTGTCCCCTGGCTGTCCCCAGTTGTTCCCAGGTGTCCCCCGGGTGTCTCCAGCCATTCCCAGGTGCCCCTTGGCTGTCCCTGCCTGTCCCCTGGCTGTTCCCTGGCTGTCCCTGGGTGCCCCCTGGCTGTCCCCTGGCTGTCCCCAGCTGTCCCCAGGTGTCCCCCCGTGCCCTCACCGGCTCGGTGAGCAGCAGCTCCAGTTTGCCGTCCTGCAGGACGTAGATGCTGGTGTCGGGCTGGCCGGGCCGGAACACGTACTCGCCCTGCTGGCACTGCTGGAACACCATGTGCTTGCACAGCTCCAGGAACAGCGGCTTCTCAAAGTGCCCCAGCACCCTGCGGGCACAGCCGGGGCACAGTGGGTGACACCGGGCCCAGGGCCACATCTCCTGGTTGCCACGGAGATGGGGATGCAGGAGAAGAGCGGCCGGTGGCACTGGGGTCCAGACTCCGCTGGGAAATGGTCCCAGCTGGGGGCTGGTCCCTCAGGGGGAATTCTGGACCCTTGGATGGATCCTGAGCCCCAGGAATGGATTTGATTCCCCCAGGATGGATCCTGATCCCTCAGGTGGAATTCTGGTCCCTCAAATGGATCCTGAGCCCCAGGGATGGATTTGATCCCCCCTGGATAGATCCTGATCTCCAGGGATGGATCCTGAGCCCCAAGAATGGATTTGATCCCCCCAGGATAGATCCTGATCCCTCAGGTAGAATTCTGATCCCTCAACTGGATCCTGAGCCCCAGGGATGGATTTGATCCCCCCAAGATGGATCCTGATCCCTCAGGTGGAATTCTGGTCCCTCAGATGGATCCTGAGCCCCAGGGATGGATTTGATCCCCCCCAGGATGGATCCTGATCCCTCAGGGGGAATTCTGATCCCTCGGATGGATCCTGAGCCCCAGGGATGGATCTGATCCCCCCGGGATAGATCCTGACCTCCAGGGAGGAATCCTGATCCCTTAGGGGGAATTCTGATCCCTCAGATGGATCCTGAGCCCCAGGGATGGATTTGATCCCCCCGGGATAGATCCTGACCTCCAGGGGGAATCCTGATCCAGGGCCAGACCCATCAGGATCCAGGGCCGGATCCCGATGCCAGGGCCAGATCCCGATCCCAGGGCCAGACCCCAATCCCAGGGCCAGACCCCAATCCCAGGGACGGATCCCGATACCAGGGTCAGACCCCAATGCCAGGGACAGACCCCAATTCCAGGGTCGGATCCCACTGCCAGGGCTGGATCCCGCTGCCAGGGCTGGATCCCAATCCCAGGGCTGGATCCCAATCCCAGAGCTGGATCCCCATCCCAGGGCCAGACCCCA